ATATAAAACTTGGGTACACTATGAAAAAGAATACAAGTAGGAAAAAAAGGTTTGCGTGTGTGCATAACAGAAAAGGTAAAGACCATGACGCTGTGTTTTTCGTTATTTTTTCAATTAAGTTTACTGCATTTGTAAAAATTTTGGAAACTAAAAATATTAACCTCATTTATAAATTCTATATGTGTATTTTTTGTATTTGATAAATTTATTTGTTATAATTTTTGAAGATACTTCGTCAGCAACCTTTTACTTAAATTAAAAAGCTATCCTTTTAGTAGAGCCTCTTTTTGAAAATTTTATGAACATATTACCTGGCTTTTTTTCATAATTTTTATGTAGAACGATCATTATCAAGTTGTTATTTACCTCCAAATCGAGTTTCCAGCAGTTTTTCGATAAATCCAAAATGACACTCAAGGCTTTCTTGATCGTTCTCAGATCCTTTACTATTTGTTTGCATCTCTCTTCTTATTTTGATCACTATATTGGGAAATTGTCCTTTTAAGAGAGACATCTCTTCTTCTTTCCAAGCATCTAAAAGAGCTAAGTTGTTCTCAGTGTGTCTGCTATACTGGGCAAATGAAATGTAGTAGGAGCTACGTTCGCCCCTGCTGTCTTTAATATTATGATGCAACACTTTCTCTTCAGCCAAACATGTCGTCTCTTCTGTATCAAATGCTAATCGTTGAAATGAACTTCGCAAATCCTGCGGTGAAGATAGTCCATCCTTTGCTTGTGCTTTTTCATGTAACCCCCCCTCTTTATCATTCTCGTTTCTCGCATGCTTTAACGTATCAGGGACTATAGCAGTGAGCTTACCTAAAGAAGCGATGGAGGTGGGGTAATCAGGGGATTTACTTGACAATGGCGCGTTGGGATTAGATAAGGGCGAAAGAATTGGGTTTGTGCCGCACAGCTCCTTTGTGCGTTTCTGTAAAATGTTTAACCACTCCGGCTCGAAAGAGGCGCCTCCGCGTTTGGCTACAACGTCCGCATTTTCCGTCTCGTCGGCACTCGGGGTAGGTATATCCGATGAGTCAGGATACCAAGAGGATATATCAGCGTCCTGGGAGCAGGAATCTACCGCGGAAGAGATAAACGAGGAAATAGGAATTGCTTCCTTCATTAGACGAAGTGGTGGGTGGGGACTTGCAGGTGGAACCATCCGCACCACGTCGTCTGGTAGTAGATCAATTACATCGAGGATGTTAGAAAGGGTGGAGGTTTCCGCAAAGCGATCAGCTACATACTTTTCGGATTCATCTAGGCCATGGTCTACGGTGCTACCTTTTTCCAATATTTCACTTAAAATCGCTTTATCGTAACTGAAGTTGACCGTTTGGATTTTCTGCTTCAGCCTACCCTTTTGAGTGTGTGCTGGGCTTTTTATCTCGTCGCTAACTTCTTCCTCTGTGTGTAAACTTAGGCTTGAGTCGATATTTGGAGATGACTCATCGTTCATTAGAAAGCTTTTCACCTCCTCAGATATTTCGCTTCCGCCTTTACTACTTCCAAAGGCACCATCAAGCCAATCTTCAACATCATCCCTCATTCGTGACCCTATTTCGAGCAATGAGTCCATTTCAGAAATATCCTCCCCGATCATGTTGTAGTCTTCGACATCTTTTAAATCTATAGTCGAATCTTCATGTAGATGCTTCCGTGTACGAGACAAAGACTGTACCTTTATGAGAAGCTCCTGTTTTTTTCTCTGAACACGTTTACACAAATCAAGAGCTTTAAGATGTCTTACAAGACGTTGCGCAAAGCGCTGGAGCCTGCGCACATCAATTGAGTCCTTCAGAAGGTTTTGCCATCTCTCTCGAAGAATATCACTGGGCACTTGTGATTTTTCACACTGTTTCTGGCTGTCCTCCCGGGTACTACTTGTACCTGAAACAATGCCTAAAGCGTGAAAGGAACCTGCATTAATACAAGAAACATTGAAATTTGCATTACGACACGCCTGATAAAACTCTTTCAGTACCATGGTGAGTAGATGACCTTCACTGCTTGGTAAAGAAGTGTGTAAAGCAACCATCGTTTTATCTATATTGCTTGTGTATTCATCTGTTTCGATTTCATTAGATGCACTCGAAGCTGTGTATGTGGGTAAGGATTGTGAGCTATCGGACGAAAATGTAGTGGTGATGCTAAGCTGATCGGATATAATCGATTCCCTCTTAATGAACGAAGGGTGGGATGAACTTACAATCGAATTATTGTCTATGATTGAATCTATTATGCTCATATCTGTTTCTGCAATATATTCTGGAATGAAAAACTGGTCCAAATCACTATCAGTTTCTACTGGTAACGTTAGTTTGCATTTGATATGTTCAAAATCATCTGTGTAAGCATTCTCACACGTTGTGCCCAAGTCATTGAATTTCCTAATAATATCATCGTTTATCTCTGTCTTTATGTCTTCAGTATCTAACAGAGTTGATTCCGCTTCTTCTTTTGAACTTTCATCCAAGGATAATGAAGTAGGAGTTAGTGGGACCCAACGGGTAATCGTGTAAGGCTGTGGTAGGTCCCTCAATTTGACAACCTCAATTTTAGTATTAGCAACGTGCGAATGCTCGTTGTCGGAAGCCATTGGTTGATTCTTCCTGGTACGCGTCCCTAGTGGTTTCGCATAGATGTATAAAATATTTTTAACTTGGTTGGAAAGCAGTGTGGAGGCGCGTTCGTCCGGCTCGGAAACAGAAATCGGAACCGCTTTGTGAGAAAGCGGATCTGAAGGATCACCTGGAGGTTTAACATGTATTGATGAGTGAATGACGGAGGGCGATTCGACCTCCCTTTTCCCCCTTGATTGAACCAACTCCAAAGCAGGTACGACTCTTTCCTGGCGAAGACGTGCGAGAAGCGTGGCAGTGTGTTGTTCGACCCGCAAAGCGTTCGCTCGTGTTTCCACTATCCGGAGCTGTCGAATTGCGGTGTTCACCCCGCGATACACCTCTATTTGTGCGCGAAAGCGTCGCTCCACCTCGCGAAGCTGCGTTCGAAAAGGGACCGATGGCGGCTCCGATCGCGATCGAAGTTCTGACCGTGCGCGCGCCGAACTTCCGCCCTCGCGTTGGGTTTGCCCCCTCCTTCCCCTTCCAGGGAGCTTGGGCGGCGTATGACACGACAGGCTCGAAAAGGACCCCCGGGGACGAGCCGCAGGGTCAGGCCCCGAACGACGTGCGGGATCGCCAGGAGTCAAGAGGGAATACCGAAGCTGAGGGGTCCGTAGCGACTCCTCCTTGGGCTGACGCGTTAACCCGGCAGGGCTGTATCGCGGCCTGGGACAAAGGACGGAAAGCAATGGCACATTCGCCCACGCGAAGACGGTGTCTTGTCGAAACGGCCCTGGAGGATCGTTAACCGTATTTTCAATAACCCAAGGCATATGAGCTCTAAATGCGGTCTACAAAGTGAATAATATATATATATATAGTGTGTATGTGTGTGTGTTTCTATAGGAATGAAAATTCTGTTTGAATTGAATTTGGCCGATACCACACTCTATTTGGAGTTTTGTTAAATAAGATACTGAAATAATGACAACAGGAATACTTCTACGGACTTGGAAGTAAATTTTGTTGTAGACCAAAAAATGAATGTAAAACAAATACTATTCCTTATTTATACGGGTAGAATTTCATTACTTTTCCACTAGTCACTCGCTTCCTAATCCTTTTATAGAAATTTAAGTGTTAAAGGTCCCAAAATATCTCATAGAAGCCTACTTATATATATTTATTTATATATGCATATATTTGAAACTCGAATTAGAAAGCAATATTTAGAATTAAGCGAGTTGCACAAAGGGCTTAACGATTTTAGGTTTAAGAATGTGGAAGATAAAAGTTGAGCACTAAGCGAAAGAAAAATATTTGGATACGTTCTGTATTTTGTCTCAAGTGCAATAAGATACATCAGATGACAGAAAGATCAGAAACATAGGTACACATGCTTCTTCATACTATAAACTGAATCTGTATTCTAAAAGAAGGATTGCCTAAGTAAACAAACACTACTCTATAAATCCAAATTTATTAAATAACCAAATTCAAAGAACAATAATAGAATATGTCAATGAGAAGAAACATTAACTGTGAAACAAATCAATAAGTTCAATTGAGAAATGTTGTGATCTTCAGCAACAGTAACACACAGAATGTGCATCACTATGATATTTTTAAACGTTCCACTATGACTATCAAGTACAAGATCTCATGTCAAATTATAGCACATCGAATTTTGTATATAAATAAACTAATATGAAATAATATACGCTAAAATGTCAGGCAATTTTTTAGATTTAAATAAAAACAACCTGGACAATAGGTTTCGTGAAGTAAAAAGCAAATAAACAAATATGCTTGTATGGAATATTTTCACCAAGGTAGAAGTTAAACGAGTGTCAATATATTTGCATAAAATTATACTAATATTTAAACAAGCACACAGTAAAGAATAAGTTTACCAAAGGCAATGTGAAAAGTGTAACAGATATAGGCTGATTGTAATATACCCTCCTCCAAAATTAGGCATTGTCCACAGAATTATGTTCATTTCCTGTTTATTATGGAGGAGAAAAAAAAGGAACAAAAATAAATATAGAAAAGTTTCATCGCTTTTAAATATTTTGTCCTCCTTTTTAGTGTATTTCTAGATATTAAAATCCGGGAAGAACGATCAAGTGCAGGAGTGATCATGAGGGAAGGCTTGTGCACTTCGTGTGTTGTTTGTCCCTGCATTGGTGACGATATTAGGGGTATATGTACTTATCGGTATATCTGCCAGTGAAGGAAAAGTGTAGAGAGATGGCGGAGGTTCATACATTGAAGATTCGGAAGGGATTGGATTGCTCGAGAGAGAGTTGTAATCGGGTGGTGGGTTTTCATAAACGCTTTGTCCCCCTGAGGGAGGGGGGGGGAAATACATCGCATGAATCTGCTGTGATGGTAGTCCATTGTTGGTTATGGGGTAACCATACGGATTAAAAGGCAAAGGCGGCATCGACGTCATGGATTCATGCTGCTGCTGCGAGGATAGTGGTGACCTTTGTAGCTGCTCCATTTGCGCACAAATCTCTTCCTGTCGTTTTCGTGAACAGGATAGTTCGCTTTCGATATTCTTCAGCTCCTTCATCTTTGCTTGGATTTGCGCATCTAGCTGTTCCTGAAACTCCTGAGCCTGAACGTGACGTTTTTTTATGAAGGATTTGAGAGTCAACAGTGTGTCTTCGACTTCGTTCATTATTCTAGAGGCATACTGCGCGATGTTTTTAAAATCATTAAAAAGTTCCTTATAGATATTACACGCGTTTTCCAGGTCATTGGTGACCTTTTGAATTTCTTGCGCGAGTGGATCAATACTCTGCAGTGTGGACAGCTCGACTATAATATTCTCGGCTTGGATAACCAACTCAGGTTGTGTGTGTGTTGTGTCCATAATTTTTGAAATTCCATCTGAGATAGAGCGGGATTCGTTCTCCAAAACGGTATTTTGCTCAGCAGGTTCGACAGCTGATAAGCCAACAACAACAGCGTCTGAGTCTAAAAGATCTCGTAGTGCATTCTGCGCTGCCTTTTGATCACGTTCTGTCGCTTCAACGTCAGACATAACTTGTTTGAGTTTATCAACATACTTTTTAACCTTGGTGGACCATTCATGTACTTTGTTAGCCGCTACAAAGGGCATTAAAGAATCTAGATCACTTATTTTCCAATCTAAGCGAGCAATATCGCGTAGATTTTGATCCAAAGTTTGCATACCACGATTTAGTTGATCCGATACATATTTGTCAAAGTTCTGTTTATGCATATTGTAAGCGGCCATGATGGAGTTATATTCAAGGGTTTGCACCAGCGCCGGGCACACTGCACGCCACATCTTCTCTCCGTACGAATTCGAAAGTCTCTCATCCTTTGCTTTTTCTTCATCAAACACCTCCAAAATTTCTTGTAGCTTTCTGTTTAATGCTGTCTGTAATTGTTTGCCGACATTAACGAGATCAAGAATGTTTTGGGCCACGCTTACTACCTGACCTTCAGGTCCGATGCGTAGGTTGAGAATCTTGCTCCGCAGCGGCTCTGGTATGTGTTGATAGTCCTGTGAATCTCCAGATAGCGTCTGGATAATGGAAATGACATTCAGCTGCTGCATTTTAGTTCGCACTGACTCACAACTTTCAATTGCAGCATCCTCATAGGTCTTGACGCGCCGGCGCTCATTTTCGCGCCACTTAATTGCCAAACTCGAGACATGAAAGGGAACAATACCAAAAAACGGATCCCCTTCACGGATAAAGGCACTGTTAATGAAGCTTGTATGTTCGATGACGGAACCCAGTGGCCGCGGTAAGCCATCGACGTCAGGAACCTCTTTGGGAACTTTTTCATAATACACAGAGGCATTCATGTCCTGTGCTTTCTTGTAAGCAGTTTTAACATTTTTAGTCACACTATCTACCCACATCGCCATACTATCGGATGAAATTTTCGGGAGCTTGTCAAGGAATCTAAGGGCCTTATTGTAATAGCCAATCGCAGCACCCATCTTGGAGTCTTCCTCGTACTTAACCGCTAGATGAAGGCAAGCCCTTACCTCGAAGATGCAAGTATCAACGCTCATAAGAACCTCCATTTTTTTGGCGAGATGGTTTTTTTCCTGATACCAGATTGAGTAAACCATCAGTGCATGAACCTCCGAAAACATCTTTGCACCTTCCCTAGCGATCCTAGCGAGCATTTCTTGATTATCCTTCATCGCCTCTTCTGCCTTCAAGTAGCCGCAATGGTGGGCTTCGGCCAGACAGATTTTGATCAGCAGTTCCAGCGATTCCTGCTTGATATCACCTTTGTTACGAAATTCTGGTGGTACTCGGAACAATAGATCCTTAACCATGGTGTAGTAGCCCGCTGCGTTTTGATAGTTTTTAAAAGCCTCTTTGATGTTTTCTATGGTTCCTTTTTGAACTTGATGAGCAGCTACGTAGGTGTACGAAGCGGCCAAGTTGTAAATACAACTCACTAACTCCACATTCGCGTTCAAAGACTCGTATTTCAACCCTTCCTTGAAGCTATCCCTCCATAAAAATTTAAGATTTTTACTAACCTTAGCAGAATGAAGAGGTAGATGGGCCTGAGCCATGACAATTAGATTACAATAGGGCTTCAGAGTGTTGTGTATAAACCCTTCAGTTGGGGGGCTCTTCGTTTCCGGCAAGCAAACCTTCGCAATCAGGTTGTGACTGTCCGTCATGGTTTTAATGGCATTTTTTATAGTGGTAGTGTTGTTGCTTGAATGGTTGGTGGCAATGTATTTGGCACATAGTTCCCATTCTGGGATATTTTTTTCACAGCGCCGAAATGGCAACTCAATAAATCGGTCAGGACTATGAATGAGCGCACTCATTGGAATAAACTGATCCCTGAAAAAGGGTTAAGTTGAAGATATAGATATCTGAATGTTGACTCTTAAGTTCAGCTTTACAATTATTATTATTTTTGTAGAATATAATCCAGTTAAAACTAAGAAGTCAACACCTAAAAGCAGTAAAGTAAGCAATCTAAAGAAACACAGAAAAGAATCAAAGAGCAATATATTAAACGATATATTTTTTAGAAAGAAACAAGGAATAAATTAAGGATTTAGGCATTTATGTGATTCTACTATTATTTCATCTAGAAATACAGATAATATCTGGGAAAAATTGTGTCGTCACTTGCCTATTAATCCGTCGTATATATATATATATATATACGTTTATATATTGTGTGTGAATATGCATTTTTGAGCTTTCCACTTTTTTCTTGGTGGAAATACTGAGCAAAGATAAGTAGTACCTATTTACATCACATGAACATTCATATTAATAAATCCAAAGATTTCCTACTTATTGTGGTTGTGAAGAATAATATATTTCTCCATTCTCGAGAAAACAACCTTACTGCTGTTGTAACTTACACGACTTCAGGTGTCTTTAATTAAATTCACAGAGTCATCTCTAAGATTTTCTTCCTCCTTCATGCGGATCGCCGCAACCATCTCCAGTAGTGTTTCGTCCCGTTCAGGATTCAAATTGTAAAATTTTTCACCATACAAGCTGTCGTCACTATCACGCCGCCCGACGTCGCCCAGGGTCTGTGGATTTGTTTTTTCATTTACCACAAAATCGCCATTTTGGGTCATGTTGAGTACCACACCTGTAGCGTTCCAGAATTCCATCGGGAGCATCTTGGGAAGATTAGCGCCATATCGGTCGATTTCAAGCCTTCGCTCTGTCCACCGCCAACCGTAGTACGCCACACGACGCGCCTCACGCTCCAACATGGTACGCACATAGTGAGCCTCACCCTTTGGAGCGTGTGAAAGTATTTTCGGCAGGACGTACCAATGGAACGAGCCGAGGGTGGTTCCGATAACGATGTGCTGGGTGGACTTCCGTGATCGAGTTGCGGGGAGTGGTTTGAACGTCAAGACGGAGATCGCATCCTGGACAAGGTGGTGGACAAGCAGCGGCTCATTATTGCGATCAAGTAGATCCCACACCTCAATTCTGCCATCCCCTGTCCCAATAAAGACGATCCCCGCGCGGACCGGCGACCACGCGGCGCATGTCACCTGGCTGCTAAGCCTCGGCGAGGCATACAGCGGCGCGTCCATGCCGAGGCGCCAAACCTTAAAGCTGCAATCCCCACACGTCAGGCAGACGTCCGTGATGAGGGGGTGGTGCTGAACGCAGGCCACCGGCCCCGCATGGGCGCGGGCCACCATATGCTGCACCACCCGCCCTTCCTTAGCGCTGCGGCCGGTAAGGCTGACAGCGGGGTGGGTTTGCTCCCGCTGCGAGCCCATCCGGCACGTGACGAGCTCCCCGTCTGTGGTCCCCACGCCA